AGGTCTCGCTGCCCAGGCGGGTCTCGAACCCATGGGCTCAGGTAATCCACTCACCTTAGCCTCCCAAAGGTGCGGGATTACAGGCTGAGCCACCGAGCCTGGTGGCAAAACTAACTTATAATGTTAGAAGTCAGGATAGTGGTTACCAGAAAGCGGGGACAGGTAGCTAATACCTAGAAGGCACAAGGAGGGGTGCCACCGAGGAACTGACAACAGTTTATTACAAACGTGAATTTAATTTGGTATCACTCATCAAGCCGTATCTTTATGACTTATGCCATTTTCAGAATGTATGCTAACTTCAATTACAAAGTTTAGTTAAAAAATGTAGAGGGAGAGAGATAGACTTAAGAAACTTATCTTAATTCATAAGTTATAGGGTTTGGACCTTGTTTGGAAACTAACTTTAAAAGTACGTTTTCAAACATTTAGGGAAAAACAGAGTATTTTTGGACTGGACATTAAATTTGCACTTTGTATTAAAAAAATTCAATGCACAGTATGTGCGCAGCCCTTCTACTTAAGGAAGACAAAAAGCATGATACCACCACTACACATTTATTTCAAATAATAAATTAAACTTACACAATAAACTCAGACTCAGAGCCATTTTATAAGTGAGAAAACCTGAGGCGTGCAGACGACTATCAGCCAGCATTACTGAGCACCTACTAGGCAGCATATGAAGCAATTTGGCTCAAAGCCCCTGTACTTTCCTCTAGGTCATGTAATATGCCTACTACAGTACAGCTTCGGAACCAATGCAGCTGCGTTTCTAAGGGAAAATGGCCTTGATGCCATATGGTTAGAGGAAACTTGGTAACCTCAGGACAGTATTTTCTTCTTCCATCTTGTTCTCCACAAAAATGGTATTGAGGGACGTAACAGGGAAATTTTAGTACTAAGCTAAACTGAGGACAATCTAATATTTAAAGACTTTGAATGGAGTCTTTCAGTAAAACTTCGGCATCAATATTATAAACCTCAAGTAAAACTAGAACTGCAGTATGGTTTACATAGAATACAAACATACACAGAATAAAAACCACAGTGAGTTGCATTTGGTAGGAATTGGGATGGGAAGGTGCTATTTTAATATTTCCCTGTTCTGACACAGGAATGGAAAATAGCTCTCCTCCTTCTGTGGTAGGACAGGGTTTCTTAGACGATCTCACAACTTCATGAAGAGAAAAAGGGAACAAGTTCCTTCAATGTACCAGATAACATGCTGGCTGCTTCATAAATATAATCTCATTCAATCCTCACAAAGCCTTATGAGCTAGGCAGCATTCTCTCCAGTTTCAATGGGAAAGAGACTTAGCTTGGAATAACGTTCCCAAGGTCACTAGTGGGCCGCAGAAGGTAGGTGGCACAGACCTGGGACCTTTCTATAAGGATGCTCTCTAAGACCCTGGATTGCTTCCAAGCATGGCACAGGGATGTCAGCAGTGACAATGCTTCTACCCTGCTCAGCACCTCTCTGGTAAAAGAAGCTACACTTGCCCACCCAGAAACAGAATTACGCTTCTTTGTTTCCCAAATGATGAGAGGCCAACAGTCTTTTCTTTTCTTTTCGGTTACACAATGAAGAAGAGATGAGGATACAAGCTGGGCCATTTTAGAAAGCTACTATTGACTGGCTGTTTATTATGTGCTAGTACCTTATATGGTATTTCATTTAATCCCCACAACCCTAACTATTCTCATTTTATAAATGACAAAACCAAACACAGAGAGGTGAGACAGTCTGCCCAAGGTCACAAATCCTATAGGTGACAGAGCTCAGATTCAATCCCAGGACTATCGGCCCTCAGAGCCAGGGCTACATGAAGCTGTACTGCCCAGACCACACAGATGGGGTCAGAGAAGGACTGGAATGGCAACATAAAAAAGCAAAGGCCTGAGAAAGGAATAGGTATCAGCACTGCAGAAAATTTACTATATAACAGGCACATTAAAATACATGATAAACCTTTTGTGCCCTTGTGCAGAGGCTAGAAGTTGTTTCTTACAAGGCATTCTTGCTCTGTGAGAAATTTATCACTGCTGACTGTGAGCATGTTTTTTAACAAAAACGTAGGGGAAATCAGAAAGGCACAGGGTATGAACTCTGAGAAAACAAGCCCAGACTCTGACCATAAGTGCACCAGGCACCAAAGCTGAATGAAGCAAATATGAAATAACCAGAAAAATGACTATACCCTTAGATTAAAATCAAACATAAAGAAGCCTGCACTTACTAGCTCAGCTTAAGGCAAACAGTATATGACAATGAAAAGAAAGTCCTACAAACATTCTGGAGTAGAAAGAACATGTTAATCCATAATGCTCTGCAGACTGTGAAACCCATGAAGACAAAGGAGAACGTGTATTTAAAGAAAGTTAAAAGGAAAGTCACAAGATTAGAAAATAAGACTTATGAGAAAAAAATGTAGTAAATACATGGAGGGAGACATGACAGCATTTTTTCTAAGACATTAACACACCAAACTCAGTGACAAAATGGAGTGTGAATAATTTGGAAAATAACAACTGAAGGTTCAGATGTTACATTAAGTGGATTCTCACAGGATGCCGCCTAGGACAACTGCAACCAATCTTAAGAGTTTGCAAATATCTTAAGAACAAAAGAAAACATCCCTAAGACACCAGAAGCTAACAAAATAAATCTTTAAACTGTAAGACTAATGTACTCAAGTAGATAGGAAATCTCCTATGGAACCAGAATCAATCAGTAACCTCTTTCATAAACTTATCATATACTATATATTTGAGAGTTTACCTGTTTACTGTTTATCTACCAGCTCCATGACAACAAAGATTATGCCTTTTTTTTTGTTATGAATATAGTCCAAGAACCTAGCACAGCTCCTGGAATATAGTATTTGCTCAATAAATACTTTTCAGTGAATGAACAATCTAATTCTAGATCCAGAGAATGTAACTTTTTCTTGCCCAGATCACATGAATTTGGCATAGTATGTCATTATATTTAAGAATAAAGATATCCACAATATAAAGGCAACGGTTTTTCTCATATCAGGTACACTAGTGCACCCTGTCTCCATCATATTCTCCTAAACATTTCCCAGGGTAAATCACAAATGGATACATGGTCAACCCTACCTATTATTCCTTATTTAGTAATTTATGGCACTTAGTTGATGTTAGTAATGACCTTCATTATGCTCTGAGGAAAACATTCTAGTTTTGAAAATCTTTGAAATAAAAATAGAATACTGAGGCAAAGCCAAACACCACCTACAGACTTTGAGGCAAAGCCAAACACCACCTATAAGACTTTTAGCAAACAGATGCGTAGTCTGAAGAGTGATTATATATAAGTGTGATGGTAGCAAATTAAGAACACATTAGATATTTAAAATCATACATATGACAGCACCACACTACAGGATCAAATGATGACCTTTTATGGAATATTCTGTTAGGATTTTATTTAGATTACTAGAAGAACTTGCCCATACTCACTTCTGTCAAGGGTGTTAAAAGAGTTCATGCCCATGGCTTAGCACTATCAGCCATAGTGACTGGCTCTGTAAAAATGCAGGAATCTGATGTTCCATCATGCTTGCAAATAAAACAACTGCTCTCTGACAGTTGGGACAAACTCTTTGCAAAATATCTGTACCTTTACATAAACAACAGTTTATTTTCAAGATGCAAAGTTTATTTAAGAAACAATGATATAGCTGGGCTCGGTGGCTCAGCCTGTAATCCTGCACCTTTGGGAGGCTGAGTTGAGTGGATTGCCTGAGCCCACGGGTTCGAGACCCACCTGGGCAGTGAGACCTCCTCTCTACAATAAATCAAAAAATCAGCCGGGCGTGGTAGCACATGCCTGCAATTCCGGCTACTTGGAAGGCTGAGGCGGAAAGATCACTGAAGCCCAGCAGGTGGAGGCTGCGGTGGCTGGGAGTGGCCACTGCACTCCGGTCTGGGCGACAGAGTGAGACTCCAACTCAAAAAAAAAAAAAAAAGAAACAATGATTTATGTTTATCAGCTCATCTTAATTGACTGACCTATATTTTCTGAAAATACATTGTTTGAATTTGCTTTTGTTAAAAACCAAGTAACATAATTAGATTAAGTCACCTTATTCTACACATAACAGTCGGGCTCCGTGGCTCAGCCTGTAATCCTGCGCCTTTGGGAGGCCGAGGTGAGTGGATTGCCTGAGCCTGCGGGTTCGAGACACACCTGGGCAACTTGGCGAGACCTCATCTCTACAATAAATCAAAAATTAGCTGGATGTGGTAGTGCGCGCCTGTAGTTCCAGCTACTCGGAAGGCTGAGGCGGAAGGATTGCCGGAGCCCAGCAGGTGAGGCTGTGGTGACCGGTAGCGGCCACTGCACTCCAGTCTGGGTGACAGAGTGAGACTCCAACTCAAAAAAAAAAAGAGAGCTTAATTTTCACAAATGGTATCTTTCATAAGAAATTTGATTACCTTTAAGTTTTAAAGTTTTTGCTGAAATACTGTGTACTTAAAATACCAACTTACTGAAATGTACTCTAAAGCACTGAAAATTGCCAGAAGAATTTATACCCAAATGAAATAAAAACATAAAACTGACAGATACAGACATCTTCCTATACTTCAGTAGACAAAATGTCTACTGTCCTCAAATTCAGGCTTAAAGTTCACACTCCTTAACAAGGCAAACAAGACTTATATAACCAGTGAGTTTCTCAGTTCCTAATCTGTGTTTCTAGTGTTATAAATTTTTAATTATTTTCATTTAATTTCTTTACTATAAAATATTTTAATATAAGCATTAAAATTCTAGGATCATAACACTTACCTGTATGGCTTATCAGAGTTATGGATTCGTCTGTGGTTTCTGACACCAACATATGTTGTACTTGTATAATCACACACATCACATCTATATTGTTTCTGGACTGAAGACTTACTCCCTAGACAAGGTATTTCAGAGTTTTAGTAGCATGCTTTGATAAGATTCAAATGACAGTATTTATATTCCATTGTTAATAAATATTTATACTACACAGTAGTATTAACATTTTAATCAAAGGTTTCTCACTGTTTAAATTTAACAAGTTTGAAGTGGTTTTACAGATTCTCCTGCATCTAGACTATCAGCAGACATAAACTAAACATCATCTGACCTATAAACATAGATAAGTTGGGTTGGTTTCTGCACAACCTTAGATAATATTCTAAATTATAATGAACTTGCTTCCTGCTGGCTGTGTAGTAGCTAAATTAACTAGCGATCCACTGTTGATTTGTAACAACAAATAGATGTTACTCTAATCAATACTACATATATTGTCTTAAAGAAATAATGATTGGCCAACAAGCTGTAATTTAATACTATAACCTAATATTAAAAAGTATGGCTACGAAGCATATATAACAAACTCAATATAAACAGCCTGAGGCTTTTTCACCCAGTGGGTTTTCCGTGTTTACTACAAAATGTCAGCTATCAGTGCAACACAGAAGAAAAAGCAACTGCAAATTATTAAGTGTTCTGCCATGTAGTATAATTCTATCTAAGTTAGAAGGACAAAGGTCATAATTAACATGAATATGAAATGAGAACATGGATCTAATGGAAATAAGGCATGCCACTAAACTCACTCTGCAACAACAGAGCTGAGTAGTTCAAGTTGGGTAAGCTTGTGACAATATAAGGTAAATAACCTGATCATATGAACCTGTTTCCTGAAGATATTCAAAGCTTTATTTACTCTTCTGTCAGCATAAAGTCCACAGGCTATTCATACCCAGATTGCTTTATATTCAGAAACAAAGCAAGCAAGAATAAGGCAGAGCAGGAAGAACTGTGTGTTGCTTGGCAGAAAGCAAGCTTAGGTAGAACACTTGCACATACTGCATAAAAGTCAAATCAGTGATACAAAAGAAAACCCACACTGAAAATTTCAAAAAAAGAAAATCCTTAGGTTAAACTTAAGCTTTCTAAAACTGAAATTTTCTTTTGCTAATAACCACTGCCAGGCAGAACAAAATTTCCTAATTTCCTGTTATAAATCTATAACATTACTATACACACTAATCATAATTATAATCTAAGTATTGCTCTTAATTGGTAGGTTAAAAACTTGGACTTGATTATTAATGGCACTCTTCCAAATACGTTTTTAAAAAAACCCTAAAAAAATGGAGTGTGAAATACTGGATAATGGTTTTGTGTGAGAAATATTACAGATCAATGACAACTAATAAAACTGACAGATGGAAAAACTTAATATAGCACAGAATGAGAGCCTGTGCTACTTCAAGCAACTGTTTCCAATGGAAAGAATATTGGATTTAAAGTTCAAAAACTTGGGCTCAGTCCTTGCTCTGCCACTCACTACCCATACGATCATGGGTAAATTATTTTACTTCTTGAGGTCTCAGCTTTCTCATCCACAAATTGGAATACTGGAACCTCACAGCATAGTTTAGTAAGTCCAGAATTTTTCTTTCACCAAAGTCTGTACATTACCTGCATGTCTGGGCAGTCTCTGCCATGTCACTAAGCTGCAGATTCCCTGATGACAAGGACCTGCCTATTTTGTTAATACTGAATAAATCCCCAGGCTTGGCAAATAATAGGTCTCCAATAAAAAAAATTTTTAACTAGATTTCATGAAGAAACACTATATGAAAGTGTTCTGCCCTAACGTGTGGACCTGTAATGTTTGCTGACACACCCATCAGCCCAGTTCTGTCTTCTTCACTGAGCTGGGTGCCTCAAGGGCAGTCACGCCTTTCATGGTGCTCCCAACACCTAGCACAGGCTCTAGCTCAAGACAGGCCTGCACAGCCTTTGGATGAACAGAAGTCTGAAGGACAATCACACTGAACCTCTGAGCTGAAATGGACCTTAAAGTGTTCGTGCTGTAACAGGCAGAGACTGGGGACCAGAGGCCCACATCTCCTTTCCTATTTAGGTTAAACAAGTTTTAACACAATATGAATTACTATGACCGTCTTTGTGTTTTTTGTCTTGACAACCAGATTCCACAATATCTAATACTGAATTAATAAAGTACCCATCCGGTGTTAAGTATGCAGGAATACATCAGCTATCTGAATTGTTATAGACTAGGATTAAAAAAAAAAAAAAAAAAAAAAAAGCAAATGGAGTCAACTGAGGGAAAACAGGAGTGGCGAGCAATTTAAAATCCATACACTTAACCCTAAGAAAAATCAGGTATGATCCACAAAGAAAGATGTTGCAAAATAAAACACTGGAAAGATACTAATACTGTAAAGTTTGAAATGGTCATTTTAATTCTGAGTTGATATTTAATTAAAATTGTGAGTTTTAATCTGTAATCTTATTTGGATAGTTTAAAATTTTTGCTTTTAAGACAGTGATAGAGAAGACATATTCCAACACTGGTATTAACTGCAGGTGGTGCTACTGAGTAGTACTTACTTTATTCCTTCATTAGGGATTTATGGTTCAATCATATCAAATGTTTTAATGTCTCCTTTAAAGGGGATATGGAAACATAATGAATTAAAATAAAAGGAGGCATTTAAGTCTATTTTGTAAAAAGGAAACAAAACTGTTTTAGCTCAGACATCTATCGCAGAAACAGATGCTATGTCATAAACTCCTTTTGTTTTGGATAGTTTCACAGGGACGACATCTGTTTGACAAGAGAATTTTGGTGCTACAGTGGTGTCAAAATCAGTTCTTTCAGAAACATTCTAGAATCAGTTATGCTTTCTGGGGTATAATTTAATGAAACATTATGGTAAAACATTTCACTCCACAGTCGTTTCTAACTTTAATTCTTAGCAAATCTAAAAAGGAAAGTCACCCCAATATGTTTTATTTCCCATAAACATTATGTACCACACTTGAGACATTTAAAGTATATCAATTCAAGTGAGCCGAAGCAAGGAAGCACAGCTTAGGACACTTTATCTCCAATTCTCCGGATGTGGCATCCGCCTTTCCATGGAGCTCTAATTAAATCTTTTGATTCTAATATTCCTATTACCAGAAACTCAGCCGACTAGTACCTAACTAGTACATAAAAAGATCTTGTGCATGTGTGTGTGTGTTTTTTTTAAATAATGCAGATGAAATCTGGCAGTCATACTTGGATAAGAGTAAGATCACAGCAGGAAGCCTCAGTTAAGGTTTGAGGTGGGGGCCCACCATCTGCAAAGGCTCTATTCTCAGTAGGTCAATGGGTACCGGGAGGGAGACAAGGTTTCCTTTTTGTGCTGCAGCTTCTCTAGCTTGCTGGTATTTCGCCTTCTAAGGGTTCACGCTATAAGGTTCTATGCTGTAGTTTAGCTCTTATAGGATAGCATAAATTTCAACTGTAACATCTACCTACACAGTTGAAGCTTAGTCCTTATTAATTTAGTACTTCTTATCTAGGATCTAGTAATAACTTCATTTAGGTCTCATTTAGAAATAACTTCACTTAGGCATTTCCTCAGAAACAGAGATAAGATTAACTCACATCCATAGCATAAAAATAGAGAATATATGCTTTGGTCCTGAAAATAACCCACAACTAAGGGCATCTTTACTTCATATGCTAGTCATTGCAGCCTGTAGAAAAAATACATAAATACCTTCCTGAACATATTTTCCATCAGTTGTATCACTGGAAATTCTTGGCTCACTGGAAGTTGCTACTGACAAGGTATCTGGAAGACTGTGCTGCTCTCTCTCATGATTCCTCAGTTGACTCTAAAAAATGGAGAGAAATTAGTATGTAATTTTCAATATATATGTGTCCAATTATTAGGAGACTGCAGAAGGGGTTAATTGTGCTCCTGGCCTAGTAACTAGAACACATTACCAATATCTAAAAATCAAATCCACTAAAATATTATTTAATACATTTGACAATTTGTAGAAAAAAATACACTACGTAAATCATAATGTCATCAAAAGACAGTTCTTTTCTTATACTCTAAAAAGGAGTTACTGCTATTTTAGGAAGTATTTATTCACGATATGTCCAACTTACTGAATCACTGGCAGGCCCAGAGGAGGAAAGAGCAGTGTTCAGAATAACACAACCTTCACAAAAATAAGTCCCATTAGTAATTGCCGGACTCCTAATTTTTGCCTTTAAATCTCAACAAAATGGCTAAGAGACCTAATTGGAAGTGCTCCTCCAAGGAGTTCCTCCTCAAGAACACGACAGCAAAAGAAACTCCTGGAAACTTTTGGAACTTGCCTTTGCAGCCTATGTGAATGGGCTACTTGGTATTTCATGAAGGTAATCCAAACAGCAAATCTCAGACTCAAAGGCTTTGTTTTCTTCCACACCTGAATGACTTACCACTAGCTAGACCCCACCTTGGTAATCTGAGTCTACATCCCAGCTAGCCCTTTAGAATACATTTTAAAAACATTTTCAGAGAGTCATCTGGTCCACTGAAGAAGAAAGCTCTAAATCAATCATTTGATGGATCTCAGTTTCCTTTATAAAATAGCATTTCATATTGGCAATTTGTTTTAAGGTCAGCACATAAGATGCAAACCAGCCAAAATAATCCTTCAAAGTCCCTTAAAGCGCCCATAAAACACAGCACACATGAGGCCAGGCACAATGGCTCATACCTGTAATCCCAGCACTTTGGGAGACTAAGGCAGAAAGATTATTTACGCCCAGGAGTTTGAGACCAGCCTAGGCAACATAACAAGACCTTGTCTCTACAAAAAAACCAAATTAGGCTGGGTGTGGTGGCTCACATCTACAATCCTAGCACTTTGGGAAACCGAGGAGAGAGGACTGTCTGAGTCCACAGGTTCAAGACCAGCCTGGGTAAATTGGTGAGACCTTATATCTACAGTAAATAAAAAAAATTGGCTGGGCACGGTGGCGCGTGCCTCTAGTTCCAGCTACTTGTAAGGCTAAGGCGGAAGGATCACTTGAGCCCAGTAGGTCAAGGCTGCGGTGACTGGGAGCAAGCCACTGCACTCCAGCCTGGGTGACAGAGTGAGTCTCCAACTCAAAAGAAAAAAACCAAATTAGCCCGATGTGGTGGTATGCACCTTAGTTCCCATCCACTCAGGAGACTGATGCAGAAGGATCACCTGAGCCCAGGAGGTTGGGGCTGTGATGAGCCATAATCTGTGCCACTGCACTCCAACCTGGGTGAGAGACCCAACTCAAAAAACAAACAAAACATAGTACACGTGGCTCTATTTCCACTGTACTGCCTTTCAATAAGTCCAGTATAGATCATTTTTCTTCTGCAGTGATACATATCATTTAGTTGTTTAGAAGCTGGACTTGCAATTTGGGACTATGTAAGATGAAAACACCTACTTTTTGTCTTGATGATGTATGGTTAAATTTGTGTAGGTCAAACGTGTGTATCAATCCACTGTACATTCCTCGGAATTTGCTTACAACTGAAAAATCATCACTTTAAAAACCATGTATAGCCAGGCTCAGTGGCTCAGCCTGTAATCCCTTGCCTTGGGAGACTGAGGTGAATGGACTGCCTGAGCCCGTGGGTTCGAGACCCACCTGGGCAACTTGGTGAGACCTCATCTCTACAATAAATCAAAATGAGCCATGTATGGTAGCGCGTGCCTGTAGTTCCAGCTACTCGGAAGGCTGAGGCGGAAGGACTGCTGGAACCCAGCAGGTTGAGGATGCGGTGGCCGGGAGCGGCCACTGCACTCCAGTCTGGGCGAAAGACTCAAACAAAACAAAACAAAACCAAAAAAAAAAACAAACAAAAAAAAACCTACGTATGTGTTAAAATACAGAGGCTGTTAAGGAGGCAGCAGGTAGGGGAAAGAATTCTGCAGCATTCTGAAGGCCTAGATTTCAGCCCCAACTTTAATACGAATTAGTGGGGATTCCCCTGGGCAAATGAGGTTTTCTGGAACTCAGTTTCCTTATCTGTAAACTGAAGTGGTTGGACTGGGTCAACAAAGTTCCCTCCTCATCCTAAAACACTAAGGTCCTCTGAAAGACGTCCTGAGCCAATGCTTACCTTATAATGAAAAGATCCTTCACACTGCTTGCACTGGTATATTCTTGTTTTACAGTGGTTTATCATGTGGCTCTCCAAATCTTTGCTGTTGTCAGCTATGTGCTCACAGATAGGGCACTGATAAGGCTGTCTCTGTCGATGAACTCGCAAGTGCTGCTTGATATAGCCCTTGTTACCACTGGTGTAGTGACACAAGCGGCAACGGTAGGGTCGCTCAGCATTAGGAATGTATTCTACTACATTGTTTCCCGACAAACTGGTATCACTGTTGGGTTGGCACTGGGCATTGTCCTGCAACTCTTTCAAAATGTCATCATCTGAAGCATTTTGATCTGTCCTTTCTCTCAATTTTTCGATGACAGTGAGTAAGGACATGCTGATGCCTGTCTTAACTTGCCCATCTGACAATTCCTGTCGACCCTCTGGGAGTGCTACCAAAGTAGAGTTGCTTTGGTTAAAACTAGTTAATCCATCTGAAGAGTTTTTAAGTGGCGACATAATTTTTGAATAAGCTGCCAACGTACTATCTACTTGCCTTTGTCCAGTATCTGGATCTAAAAGGTTTATGTCTCCATAGTGCCCAAGGTTGGCTCTTGTCAGCTCTGCAGCTCTTATAGGCATTGTGACAAGGGCTTCTGCAGCTAATGAGTGTAGTCTAAGAGACTCAGAATTTGTCCTTCTTCGGCCTGGTGGGGCATTCTCATCAGTAGCCAGGCCTTTACTTATTAACTCATCTTTCTTCTCTGGATTGCTCCAGCCTATGATCAACCCTCCAATATCAACAGTACATTTATCAGTATGATAAACATCATTCGTTCCTTCACACTCAATCTGGGCTTCTAGTGGGCTTAGGTTTTTCCCTTCTTCAATTTCAGCATTCATAAGGAAATGTTTCTGTGAAAGAGTTTCTTCAGCACCTGGCAATCGTTCCACTATCACATTAACATGACCTTTTTTGTTTGGGCTACTGCTAATGATTTTTTGTGCTGATGAAAGTAGACTATCAGCAATGAGATTTTCTTCCATATCAGAAATCACTTCTAGCATTTCTTCCTCATTAGGGTCAAGGGTAATTGACTGACCGAGGTGGACTTCTCTTTCTGCATTCTGCTCTAAAGTCGGTGAAGATGATAACTGATCTGAGCTGCAAATCTGCACTTGTACTGATGGCCCATTGTGGATACTTAGTTCACTATCTCCAATAGCAATGACTACTGCATCAACCCCACCAGGGGTAGCAGGTACTGAAGAATCTAGTAAGCCTAGGGGCTCATTCTCATTTTCAAAGATTGGATAGGAGCAGTCAACCTCCCCAGCATGTTTCCAAGCATGTGTTTTCAACATTCTCTGTTGGCCACAAGTGTAACTACAAAACAAGCATCGATACATGCCATATTGTTCATACGCATACCATTTCCTCCTACCCATTTCTGCTGTTGGTGCAGTTTGCACAGTATGAGTTTGTGGACTGTCCACATTTACTGGGATGTCAGGAATGGTTTCATTCTTTCTTTCTGTGGGTCTCTGACACAAGGAATCGGAGGGGCTTATGCACTGTTGGGCTTTGGATTGGTTGTGATTGTTGGCATCATTTTCGTGGTCATTTACTACATGAGCTTCAAGTTCCTCTTGGCTTTTAGACGTAATATGGCACTCTGAGCACATTAATATCACTTCATTCTGCTGACCATGCTGCTTAATATGATCTTTTAACACAGAAAAAGATGATGACAGAAACTTACAAAGGCTACACTGATAAGACATAGCCTTCCCATCATTCTGGGTAAGAGAGTCAGGGGTAATTTGTGACATCTCAGCCCTCCTAATATCAGCAGCAGGTGACTGGGTTACTTTAGCTGGAACTTCACAAAGTTCTTGAGTTTCAAGGGAGCGTGTTGCAGCACTTGAACGTGAGCGCTTTTTCCCAATTAAAAGACATTTTTGTGACTTTTCATGTTCTACTATCTTGCTTAATTTCTGGATAACATGGATTAATGGATCTGCTTTAGCCTTTCTTTGTTCATCAATTTCCAGTGAAGAACTGATGATACTCTCAGCAGTCAATGTAGCTTCCTGTTCCCCAATGTCTGGCACCAACATGGCAACACTGCTACTTTCTTCCATATCTAAAAAAGATAATGTATAACAGAAAAAAAAAATCAGGTTACAGCATAATTACAGGCATGCAATTCAGGAATTATACATCAATTTTAGTGTCTAAATCAATCTAAGTATTTTCTAAGCTGGGAGTTCCATATTAATGTGTCTGGCTATTCCCAATATGGACTTAAATTGTTCAGAATTTCTCTCTGGAATGCGCTCTCCTACCTAGACTGACAATGGAGATCTTTATGTCCTTCATTTATATCTCTAGAAATGACTTTACTCATCTCTATCTTCATTTTTCTTCACTTTCTTTGCCTACAACATCCAGCTGGAGCCAACCAGTGCTCCCTTTCTTTTGCACAATGCCAATGAAAAAAAAGACTCCTATTCCTTGATTAAAGAAACATAGCCATTCTCAAGGTATTTGGAACCACTTCTCAGGTTACAGAGAAACATCATTTTGTAGAGCCAATGATTGACACAATTCTTGAGAAACTATTTCTTGCACCAAACAGAACTGTAGTTTTATTACTAAAATCACAAATGCTTTTTTCTCCACAAATCTTTGAAAATGTAAACTACTCATATAACCCGTGTAAAGAGCATAGTGCATTTTGAGAAGTACTAGGCAATGATCCAGTTCCTACTTTTACTTCCCTTGATTTATCTTCCTGAAGATAAACCACAAACTATGCTGTGGTTTTTTCTAGAGGTCATATTAGTGGTCAACTATTACTCATGCTCAAATATATATATGTATTTTTTCCCCTGAAAGGGCTATCGGAGAAGAAAAAAGTTGTGTTTCAGTTACATATATGAACAGAGCCCTTAGAAGGGGTTATTTGTTGATTCTAATAATGCATTGTGGCTAAGAAAGTCACTAAACATAAAATACTCATAAATCTTTCCGTTTAAATCTTGAATACTCTTTATATTTCCTGGCAGTACTTTCATTTCAAACATTTCCTTTGGCTTAAAGTGAGATTAATTTGTTGACTTGGATCACATTTTTAAGTTTAGGCTTTTTTCCAGCAACAAGTTTTGTTTTTCCACATTTTAGGTGCATTCTGGAATCTTACTCACAACATTCAATAAATGCCAGCAAAATTCTTAGTAGCACTAGCTATAGACCAAAGACCATACTATTCTTAAACTTGAGTCACAGGCTCTGAATTCTTATTTTAGGTGGCAAATCATGGCCGCTCTTCCCCACATGAGAAGAATCAAGACACAAGGGACTTTTGGCCCCTACCAGGGTTATACCCAAAGTGTCTTGCCAAATCCTCCACCCCCTAGTTTTCGGACCAGCTTCAGTGCCAGGCTGCCAGCTGCTCTGGGCAGCAGCTATGGCTCTTCCTTTCTTATTTTCCACTCCTTCTGACCACACAGCAGCGTTTCAGATCCTGGTCCATATCAGGCAAAAATGCAAACACTTTACTCTTGGTGTCTTTAGTATTACTCCTTCCCTCCTCCTTAATACTCTGCCCTGGGGATCAGCTTTTATTCCCCTGGCCAATGACTCCTTCTAAATGCCCTCAAGGCAGGAAATGCATTCATATCCATGACAAAGACAGCTCATCCCAGCTCCAAAGGCCAGCAGGTCCCTCGGTCACTCTCTCCCCTAAATAACCTCTCCAGAGACTTGCTCTGCTTCATCTTTCTCAGGTACAAAGAACAAAAGTCTTCTTAGCTCTCTATATTGCACCTCAATTGGTCACTAAAGAGAAGACCAATGGGGGAACAATTCCTTTCTTCAGAAGAACCTTTCTGTGACTTCCTGAGTCACTTTACTGCCTTAGAATTCCACATTTTTAGGCCAGGGAGGGTTTTGGCTCTTCAGGTGGAGACTGACTTATTTCCCTTTAGGGTGATTAACTCAAGGTTTTATTTCTTTCAGTTTACTGTTAAATGTACATGGGTTAAATCATAAGTTTAATAATAGAAATCCCGAACATTCAATTTTCTGGATAAGACATGGCTCTCTTCTGTAGATCTAAGGTCTCTTTTCCACGAAATGTAACATTTATGTAGGCTGACTTATAATCTGAAGGTTAACAAGTGAATGTTTGTTCAACAGACATTGCACACCCACAGGGTTACAAAGGTGATTCATGTTATCTCTCTTCTACTTAATGATATAATAGGAGTGACACAGAGCAGTGCAAATTGCTCCCTGTGGATATTTCAGTGTGTACCTTAAAAAGAAAGTGAAATGAAAAGGAGAAAGAGGAGTTCATCTTATCTCCAGAAAAAGACTAATACAAAAGAATCTGACAAAACATTCAGATTTTTAAAGTTGTGTCTGCTCAGGCATTAAGAGCTAATGGAAATTTGCAGCAGATGCTCCAATTTTCCCTGAACATTTATATAAGTATCTCGTTTTAGAGACTGCATACATTTGGGGATAAGTACAGTAATGGCAGCTATAAAACAGATATGACAACATAAAATACATCAAGAAACACCTGAAAACCAGTTTAGGTCCACATGCAAAATTAACGCACAAGTTAAACCTCATAAAAACAAGTCTCTGCTAAAAAAAAAAAAAAGGTTAGATAAACAGCTCATTTATATTGCGTATAAAATATACACAAAGGGGAAGTTACCTTAAGACCAACTCTTCAAATTTTCACACAAATTTTACTTAGATCACTAATACAGATATAGACAGATATAGTTGATAGATAAATGGGCTTGCATGTCAAGTGAAATTTGAATAAAAAGAAAATAAGGAGTACAAATACAATCTCAGTGGCTCAATAATGATTACAACATGGATTATCATAGTCTGCATACCATCCTTGGCCTCTAAGAGATCAATTTAAACACAACTTTTAAAAATTACCATGGCGGTAGTATGGGGTTGGAGCAGGGTGGAAATAAAGTAAGAACGACAAATTCTGTAACTAAGTGGAATGGAGTTCATTATACATTCTTTCTACTTATGTCTAAAATTTTTCGTAATAAAAAGATACCAAAAAAGGGTTATGTGCAAGACACAAAGCAAAATATCAGAAAGAATGGAAAAAATTACTTATAGTACTCATAGTTTAAAACAAAGCTGAGTCAATCTGACAAACGTATTAAGAAGTTAAAAAGAATTAACAGCTTTTAAACAATGCAATAGTACACAAAGTAAAATAGAAGGCAACAGTCAATGACTAAATCCTAAAAGAGAGTGAAGAGCTTCTCCGGGCTAGAAAGGTACATAAAGCTTCTTGAAGAGGTAAGAGGTACACTGGATCCCAAAGGACGGGCAGTGTGGCAGACATCAGGTATTTGTCTTCCAAGCTCACTGTATTCCCCTCTCTCTTCTGCTCAGGAAAGAATACATCATTAGGCTCCCCTGCCCTCTGGTTTCTGGCTAAGGTCAGCCAATGAAGAGTTATGACAGATCAGACTGCGGAAACAGAGTGAGATCAGAATATCTGTCCTGAATCACTACCATTGTCCTGGTTCACTATCTCTAAGTCACCTTGGACTGGCTGTGTTCCTCAACAGAAGGCCATTTCTCTCCAAGTAGGTTGCTCCATGAGACTCTTCTTATAATTCTGATACCACTCCCTTCTCCTGATGCTGCTAACTCCAGATAACTGCATTATCCCTGTGGTTCACCTATGTAAGTCCAGCACCTTTATTATTAGTATCTTTGCAAATATACCTCGTTGAATGATCCTAATTTGAATATGCCGTTTGCGTCCCTGGAATACTGTTGATACAAGTTTACACAGAATAATACTGATAAGATAAGTTGTAACATTACTGTAGTTTTAGAAGTGAGAATAAGTATGCTACCTAGAGGTTAGTGAAAAAACCAGTGTAGCTGAATATGAAAGTTCAGTAGGAGAAGAGAAGACTAGAGGGATTAGTAAAACGGACTTCTTGTTTAGAATCTTTAGACATTAGAGCAAACACATTAAATTGTTATAAATAATAAGTAAATAAACAAAAGTTGTATCCCAAATCAGAAAATTCCCATAACCTTTTCCACCAAGTCTCTCAAACCTTTACTCAACAACAGTATTCCAAAGGTAAAGCTTATAATGAATCTTTCCCTAGAAAAGTTAAGAGCCAAATTATTTCAGTTGTCTTTATTTCCTTATAATTTGCTATTTGGTTTATTTGTGTATCTAATTCTTTCCTTTTAGTTATAGCACTATGGTTATCATAAGTAAAATCAAATCGAACAATTCATCTGGGGCTTGGAGAAAAGGCTGTAACTCTGTGTATATATGAAGACAGTACATAAAAGACATAAAAGAATTTCAGAATATGAATTTGCTCTTTTCCAACTAGAAAAAAAGAATTGTGGGATTGAAGTAACAGTCAATTAATTTCCCAGTCTTTCAGATTACAATTTGAAAGTACAAAACACTTATTTTGCTCTAGCCAAAAGAAGGCGGGGAACATAAATTAATAGGTACCTCCCCTAAAGTACCTTCCATAAGCTGTGTGACCTTAGGCAAGTCACTGTCTCTGTGGGTTTTAGATTCCAGATGTAAATCAAGAGGATGAAGCTTGGATGAACTTTCAGGTCCCTGAGTTACAAACTGTCTACAAAAAGTTACCAGGAAACTGCTTATACATTATGTATAGACTGACCTCTCTAATGGAGGCTATCATTTATTTGACTTAAAATCCTTAGCTCAATGTAATTATTAATTACCACTAAGAAAAAAACAGCATAAATATCACAAGTATATGAATTTCATAGTCTACAATTTCTTGGCTGGCACCTAGCCTGAGAGAATATTCTAATTTGGCAGCTACAATTAAGACATAAGGTCTAACTAACATTAACCAATGTTCAGATTTACTATCATTTATTGAGCACCTATAATGTGCCAAGCACAGTGCTGGAGACTACAAAAACGACTGAGGAAATCCTTGCCCTTGAGGTGCAAGTCCAGGGAGTAATGTTTATGCAGATTTAGTGTAGTACTCAAATTTTGTGTATTACACAAAATTCCTCATAGTGCGGGCTTCTTTTTTTTTTTTGCAGATGAGGGACCTAAGGCTCACAGATGCAAACAGTACCTGATTTAAGAACTGGGATTCAGACCTATCTGATTCTAAAACCCTGCTTTCTCTAATATACCAATTTTCCATTTAATTCTAAATGAGAACAAAAATGTATAAATTGTCAATATTGAAAAGAATAACAGCCCCTTATACCCAGGCTGTATTGAATATGTTAGTGAATCTGATCCTCTTAACTCTTTGGGACAGGCTAGGTGAATATTACACAATTTGATAAATAAGGACACACTTGGTGCAGTTTAAGTGACTTACCCAAGGTTACATGGCTGTTAAGTGGCAGAGCCAGTGTCTTTCAAATCAATTCCTGAAATTAATACAGTCCCTTGGATCAATCTTCAAAATCCTGCTGTGGCCAAGAATGAAAGTATATAGTATCAAACATTTCTCTTTCTTGGTGAAACAAAGTAATGATTTTTTTGGCAGTGAAAAATTTCTCAATATTCCACATCAAAAGAAATTCAGAGGGATGTTCATGCCACCCGATTACATGATGCAAGTTGAAATAATTTTTCTAACAAGTAGATTAGAAGATTTTGCAGAAGTTAGAAGGAAAAAAGCTCTGGAAACGTCTCACAATAATTGTATATTCTGTGTCTTACCTCAGAATTTATGTAATTGACTCAAACACGTTGGTTTTACTGACATCACTTTTTAATGAGTATGGAACAATAAACTGCAAATTGCTGCTACTATACTCCAAACCAAAAATACAATCTAATGAGTGATTCTGCAAATTTTACAAACACAGTGGGCCAAACAGCAGCATAAAAAGATACGACCCAGTGGTGTGACCTATTTTATCTTCTAATGCAGTTTCCTACCCTGGCCCTACATTTCTTTGCTGCCTTTCCTTTCTCATGTTACCTAAAATAAATCTAAAAGATCAAAGAATGCTTATTATAATGTTTCACCTAGAACGCAACTACCTATCGATTATGGTCAAGTAAAATAGTTCACTGGCAGGGCCAGAAAGCACATATTTAGACCTCTGAAGTTAATTTTCAGTGAGTTAGTGAGGTAAAGGAATGAAAGGCCAGGCTTTCTTTTAACCAATAACGCAACACAAACACGGAGTCCGGGCGGAGTACTGGAGAAAGTGCAACTCCAGGAAGTGATAAATCCAGTAAACTGCCTGAGGAGAGCGACACAGACTGATAGCAAATTACAGCCTACTGCAGAAACTAAAACAGACCGCCTTCGGGTTGGGAGAGTGGCCTCCAACAAATCACTCCGGATGCCCCCAGGTCTCAAGAGGTGGGAGCTTTTCCCAAGGGTCTCCCTGATCCCTGGAGAAATCATGACATCGACGATAACCGTAGTAAGTGCAGAAGACCAGGCAGGACTGCTTTTTCTATTCTAGCTTTTTCTACTCCACGCAGTGGCTACAGGGCTGGGGCAGGGACTCAGAAAAGTAATCAAGAAATGCTGCGAGCACACCGTCGTTAGCTCCATCCCGACTGGTCTAAGCGATCTCACAGCCGAAGGAGGGAAGGAAGCAACGCCTCGGGCGGGCCTGCGGGCGGACCAGGCTGATGACAGTCCGAGGGGAGAGGCAGGTTCCCCCCCACCCCCAGCGGCAGGGCAAGCTCAGGCTCTCCGCAGGCCTCGCTGTGGGCTGTACAGCAGACAGAACCGCGACACGGAACTTGGGGCGTGTGGCGAGCACCGTCAGGTGTCGGCCGGCTGAGGAGGGAGCGGGCGCCGGCAGAGGCCTGAGGGGAGGAGGCACATGGCCGGCGGCGGCGCTAACAGCGGGCGAAGGGGCGGTCCCGGGGCGCGGTACCTGCGGTCGGGCGGCGGCTGCTGCTTCCGCGAGCCTCCTTGGGCCGGCCGGGACCCGGCCGTGCCCTCGCCCTCGTGCTCGCCCACCTCTCTCCCGGCTCGTTCCCCTCTTTGCCCCCGCTTTCCCCCTCCTCATCCGCAGCTCCAAAATGGCGGCGCTGGCAGCAGATCACGTGAGCCGCGGGTAGGTCAGGTGACCCGAATGGCGGGCACGGGGGCGGGGCGGGGCTCAGGCCCCGCCCTCGGGCATCCCGGGCCAGCAGGACGGGGCGGGCGCGAAGCTTCCTGGCGGACTCGTGCGACCCTGGGCTGGTTGTCCCGCGCTCACAGCCCCCGCGTCCCCTGTCAGCGGTCGTCCAGGTCTAGAAGTCGCTGTGTCTTCGCTCTGGCGTTTTCTCACGTCGCCTGCATCTGCCGTGGGCCAGCTTTGTCACCCCACGCACGCCACGAGTGACTGTCAACAGTGGACGTTGACTTTTTTCAGCCTGACGTTTCTGAATTTGTGTCGCTTCTTTTGGTTGGGGTGTTGGCCGAAATTTACAGGTCCTAACTGGGCTCACGGCTTTTCTTTAGTTGTGCCTCTCGAGGGGCAGAGTTGGCCTGGGAAATCTATTTGCTTGAGAGAGTGGGGGTTTTCAGGGGTTGCAGGGTCGGACTTGGTAGCTTGACCTGGGAACACGACCTCAGTCCTCTGAGGGCGCAACGGTGTTTGTCATTTGGATCTGTTTTCTGAAATACCCACCGAGGTGTAAGCCCTACTTTGGTTCACCTGCGAACATAGTGAAATACAGAGTTGAAGGATTCCAGCCACCTTCACCAAGAATACAGTATTGCTTTGCTGTCTTAGGAATACCCAGTGCGGTGCCTGGGTCTGGACTCAGCAGGTGCGTCGTGGACAGGAGGAAGGGAGTAAAACTGAAGATTCTGGTCATAGTGACAGACTGGATTTGTTTCGTGAGATACCTCTTTCAGACTTCCAGATATATTTACAGGCCTTTACAGCAGGCTAGGGTAGGCCTGTCTTGGGTGGAAGAGCCAGTAAAATTTAGAGTTACTGTTCAGTCAGGCTGGTACTTCCCTTAACTGTGTTTCAGAGTCCAAGTTCATCTGAATTTGGGGGTTGGAAAACCAGCCATTAGAATTCTGTTATTCCAAAAGATTATTTGCCAATTGGACCAAATAGCTAAGAAGTAACAATAAAATGTTTTTTTTTTTCCCCAGTGAAAAGTGAGAGATTGAGCAGGAGACTAGCATAAAAGGAAAAAAAAAATCAGAGAAAACCAGAACTACAAAATGGTGAAAGTAAAAATAAACAACTAATGTGAAACTTCCTTTCCTTGGACCACTGGTGCAAACAATCCTAGTGTATAATTGTCTGAAGAGAGACTTTTCTTAATTGTGATGCCCATTAACCTGAAAGTAGACAGAATAGAAATCAGAGAATTATATGATCGGGGAGAGTGCAAAAACAAAGTAGAGAAAATATGATCTAGGGAAGATAAGGAAGTTCTGAAATAAGAGAAAGAAAGAATATCTGTCTGGAGTTCCTGTGGTAGTCATTACTGGTATCCACCAGCTATCTCTCATTGTCCCTCCTTCAGCACAGTGTTAGATAGAACTTCCTGGCTCTCTTCTGTCTTGGGGTATGACCTGTGACTAAGGTTGGCAAATGACTCGTGTGGAAGTGAGGGTGTCCCCCTGTATTGGAGCATTTAATTGCCAGTGGTTCCCTCCACAGTGCTCATTGACCTCTGGCTTGATGACTGGCAATGTTTCAAGTGGTGGCCACCCTGTCAACTGACATCTGAGAGGTGTAAGGTTGAATTGATCCCCCAGCTGATCATTGTCAATAGAATAAGTCACTGAGGTTTTTGGAGCTGTTTGTTACTGTAGCATGACACAACCACTCCCTACATTGAAGTGCCTGGAAGAGCCAGAGCCGATACGAATTTCTTCTTATCATTGCAGGCAGAAAGGAATGTTATTAAGAATTTGAACTTTCATTCCTGAAGACTGAGACAGTATAAGATGCAGACTCCGACAGGAAAACCTACACAACTTCAAAAAGCCTGGGACACAAAACTTCAATATTTCTCTTTCCTATAAAAGAACTCTCCAGAAAATTATAGTTAACATTTTAAAGACAGAAAAATGCAAAGACATTCAGATGTAATTCCACTGAACTTGTGGACACACTTTTCAGCACCTTCCACCTGCCATGGAGTGTTATTTATCATGATTTAATTAACCAATCATAGTAAGATTTAGTGTTATAGATAGGAAACTTGCTTACTCTGTTATCTAGCACCTATTCAGTGGAATCTGATTCTGTCTTCAGATGAGAGATGACCCAGTAGCTGAGTCTCTATCTCAACACACCTCATTATTCTACTTTGGGGTCATTAATTAGTCGATGAGGTTAAAGGTTTTACTTCTTCTATTAGTATCATGGGTCTGTATCTCCTAATGTGACCGAGGAGTCTGATAATACATAGTGCTTTACAACTTAAACCAGAGCACTGCTTAAATTTTGGGAACAATAAGGACAGTGCAGTAAGTTGCCAAGGTTACGATGGGTTGTAAATGGAATGAGACACTGAATCAGTTCAAACTTGAGAAAGACCTACTTGTTTCCAGCCATGATACTTATGAAGGACTCCTTGTCTTTGGTATAATAAGATTAGATTAGATTTCTTTTGAAGGGATTAATCATGTAAGTCTTTGGCACAGCACAGAAAATTGGACGAGACATGTGTCCCGTATTAGTTTTAGCCATAATTTTTCTTTATCATGACCTTTAAAAAAATATACTGTCTCAAAAAAGGAAAGATAGTGGAAGGGTGAGAGAAAGCAGGAGAGCTAAAAGGGAAAAGGATGTGATGTGAGCTGAGAAGATAAACTCGAAAATTCCTGACTTGCTATTTAGCTCCCGTGGGGTTGTGAGCAGGTGGGCTTCATCTTGCCAGTGTTTTCATTTTGCTTGTAAAACAAGAAGTTCAATTTACCCTTTTTTTTTTTTTTTTTCAGTTCAGATTTCTGGTATGTGAAAGCACAGAGTTTAATTATAGGAGTCCTCCGGGTTCAAAATGGGACTTCATCATTAAGAATAACGGCAAGGCTTGATGTTATTAATGAATGAAAAGGTTGCTTGATGTAAGTCAGAAGGAATGTAAGATTAAAGGACATGATATATTATTATATATACAGCTGTCAGTAATAAATTAACATTAGCTCTGGGTTCCTTACACTTTACATCCTGAATGTACACCTAGAAATACTTCATAATTATAGTTCAGGTCTCAAGAATCATCATACATTATCCATCTGTCATTCATTCTCTGCTAAAAGCCACAGATCCATGTTATTTCGGCAACACATTGACATCTAAAATCCCTGATGTTATGAGGCACACTTATTAATTTATTTCTCATTGAGGGCCCAACCAAACCAGAAGGATACCCAACAACCAACTACAACTAGGAAGAAGAGAAGAAAGAACAGAGGATGTGATTGATTGGGAGAGCTGGGGTTTGCTCTGGCTAGCATTGGTCTTGCTTAACTTTCTTTCTTTTTTTTTTGAGTTGGAGTCTCACTCTGTCGCCCAGACTGGAGTGCAGCGGCCACTCCCGGCCACCGCAGCCTCAACCTGCTGGGCTCCGGCGATCCTTCCGCCTCAGCCTTCCGAGTAGCCGGAATTACAGGCATGCGCTACCACGCCCGGCTGATTTTGGGATTTATCGTAGAGATGAGGTCTCGCGGCCCAGGCGGGTCTCGAACCCGCGGGCTCAGGCAATCGACTCACCTCAGCCTCCCAAAGGCGCGGGATGACAGGCTGAGCCACCGAGCCCGGCTGCTTAACTTTCAGAGAGCTGTTTTAGTGGTGAAATACTAACTGGTTTGGAAAAGGCCCATCGAGGAACTCAGACAGTCAAAGCAAGCATAGCAGCCCTATCAGCAAGGTTGTGATGGAGTTCGTCTAGAATTCTCCTAGCCCTGGGACTCTGTTGCAGACTCAGGACCTGGGTGTAAGGACAAGAACAAATAGTAGTGACATCTAGTGGCTAACCTGGAATGTGCAGTCGAGCCACAGGGCCCAGCCGCGGAACGTGGGACATTTGCCTTGTCCAGCTAACCTAGACCTGACCCCGAGCCCCTGAATCAGTCTTAAGAGTTTGGTTTCTGGCAGAGATTCCCTGAATTCGTGTTGATTTATGGTTGGGATCCAGGAAGCGCACCAGCAGGCTGGGAGTGGAGATGGAGGGGGGCTGCTTTGGAGGCCGACAGGAGGCTCCTTTCAGTCTAGTCTGCATATGCCACAGACTGGTGCTGTAGCAGAGTGTGGCTCAGCAGAGCTATGCGAGGGAGCAGGGAGCTCGCCTCCGCCAGACTGTCTCTCTGCTTCAACGCAGACTGGTTATTGGAACGCTCAAGCAATCTTCTGTCGTCTCTGTCAATAAAGTCAGTCTCTTCTCTGCAAGGGGAATGAAAATGAGATTTTGAGGCCTCCAAAGGACTCTCTCCTTTTGCCACTTTATCTGCCCAAGAGCCAGGTGGCAGTTCCATTGAGTGGGGTGGCAGCTATTCGCTGTGCCTCAGATTCCTTTGACAGGTAATACCACCTGCTTCTGAACAAGACAGTGTGATTGTAATAGGACACTGTTAACTTCTTCCCAGAGAAGCAGTTTCCTTAGAGCAGTGGCCTTTATTGATGAGTAGGGCAGAGGAAGAAAATGAAAAGGAGGAGGAGAAGATGAGGAGAGACACCAAAGGGAAAAGTAACTGCTAATCAAACCAAGAGAGCCCAGCTGAGGGGTAATCCTGCAACTTAAAAATATGTCATTTGTTATTTTGACAGTTCCTCTTGAGGTGATAGACTAGGAGGAGCTGCTGGCATCATCATCAGCTGGCTGGGAGTTCTCCTCTTTGCTTCTTTAAGACATCAGCAAATGGAGAACCATAGATAGTAAGTAGTCTATCTTCTAAGGTTCCCAGCCTCCGCTCCTCATCTGCTATGGAAAAGCGAGTGTAGGAAACATTGGTAGAGTATTTGATCTTCTGGGATGTTTCTTTCGTGGAGAAAGAGACTTGAGTGAGAAAGGAAAGGGAAAACGTATCTAATACCAAGAGAAAGTCCACACTGCCATTTTTCATGCCCTTCTGGCCTCATCATACACT